CAAACATGCATATACATCTACGTACATACATGCATGCCTGCATGCATACAGGCATGTATACACGCATACATACAAACACTTAGTTAGATCAAGATATACATACATGCACCTATTCATATATACATATATGCAGACATGTATGCATGCACACAGCCATACAGACATACCTGCATGCATGTATATATAACTGCATTCGTGCGTATATGAGTAGCAGACGTGTGTATGTATATATATATATATAACAAAAAACATATCTACATAACATAGATGTGCGTATGTGTGAATTGTGTATGACGGCGTTGGCATTCCTGGGACCAAAAGCAGGGGCCCCAAACCCTTTTGAGTGGACCGGGGCCTCGGGGACCTTCCGAGATGGCCCCCAGACGGCCCAAAAGGGTCCGAGACGGCCCTGGAGCCCGCCCAGGCGGCCACAGATGGCCTCCAGGCCGCCAGAGAGAGCTCAAGATGGCTCCAAGACGGCCCTCAAGAGGCTCACAGGAGGCCCCCAGGAGGCGAAGCTCCTCTACACACAGAGCACACCATGTTTCTCTAGATCTCGCCTCGTCGTTTCCGAGGGGCCTCTCGGGCCTCAGGAACGTGCAAGCGTCGCCCACGAGGAGCCCCAGGAAGGCACAAGACGGTCGATCGAAGCCCCAAAGACCCTTCAAGATGGCTCCAAGACGGCCGATGATGGCTTCGAGACGGCCTAGACGGCACCAGATAGCCTCCAGACAGCCCTAGACAGTTGGAGATGGGCCCGAGGTGCCCCCTAAGAGGCCCTCGAGAAGTTTCTAAAAGTCCTCCAGGAGACGAAACTCATTCAATAACCAGGGAAAAGGCTTCAGGCTTCAGGATGGTTCAGGATGGCTTCAGCTTCAGGATGGCTTCACGAGGGGGGGGCCTCTCAGGCTTCAGGATGGTTCAAGAATGGCCCACGAGTAGCTTCAAAGCGTCCCAAGACAGTCGAGTGGGGCCCCCAAGACCCTTCAAGATGTTTCCGAGACGGCCGAAGATGGCTTCGAGACGACCCTCGGGCCCGCCGAGAATCCTCTGGCCCAAAACTCAGGCACAGCAGCAGTTTGGGCCGAAGGCCATAGATACGCAAGCAATTGGTTTGGCGGAGGACCCATCCCTATGCAGTCACAAGTAGTGCAAGGCGCAGGTCTCTCTTCATACATTGCGCGCTGCGGGGCAACGCGGACAGCGGGCTGCTGCGGAGCACGCGTACACGGGTGCGCTGAATTCTTCGTGGAGCAGGATCCGCGTGAAAGGTGTGTCGAATGAGTCGGATGCACCCGCGCGAACACGCCCATTGGGTTTTTTTCACCCACCCGACAGGCTGGGGTCGTCAGCCCATCCACCCTGCATACCGCGGCCGCCAGATCCCCAGGTCCGCCGAGTGTCCCCGAGTGCCCCGCCTCGCGCCACTCTGCATACCGCGGCCGCCAGATCCCCAGGTCCGCCGAGTGTCCCCGAGTGTCCCGCCTCGTGCCACTCTGCACACCGCGGCCGCCAGATCCCCAGGTCTCTCCCGAGTGTCCCCGAGTGCCCCGCCTCGCGCCGACAAAAGAAAACAGGACAGAGTTGTATTAATTACCTGGCGAAGGACCCAACCATATACAGTGGTGGGTGACGCAGTTGTTGGTATCGTCTTCGGTGGAGCTCCTTATTGGGGCACGAAACGTGTGAGGGGTGTGCCAACATGGGTGCGGCGGTGTCATGCGAGCACAGCCTCTGGGGCATCCGGTGGAGCTCCCCATGGGCCCACGAAGCTTGTGACGGGTGTGCCGAAATGGGTGCGGTGGTGCCATGCGAGCGCAGCCATTGGGGTCGTTGGTGGAGCTCCCTGTGGGGCCACGAAATTGTGCCGACATGCGCGCGGTGTTGTCATGCGAGCGCAGCCACTGGGGCCTTCGGTGGAGCTCCCTACGGGGCCACGAGACGTGTGAGGGGCGTGCCGACATGGGTGTGGTGGTGTCATGCGAGCACAGCCACTCGGGCCTTCGGTGGAGCTCCATATTTCCCTATGGGGCCACGAAACGTGCGTGCGAGGGGCGTACTGACATGGGTGCGGTGGTGTCACGCGAGCGCCGCCAGTGGCGCATTCGGTGGAGCCCCTTGTGGGGCCACGGGATGGGTGCGGTGGTGTCATGCGAGCGCAGCCACTGGGGTCTTCGGTGGAGCTCCCTATGGGGCCACGAAACGTGTGAAGGGTGTGCCGAAACAGAAACACGCATCTTCAGAGGCAAAGAGGGGGAGGAGGGAAGAGGGGGAGGAGGGCGGGAGCTGAGGTGACGCGGGGCGCTGTCTCTTCAAAACGAGGACCCAACACCACAGGAAGGTTGGAAAAAAAAACATAGCAGAACATAGTACATCACATGATTATAAGCTATGACAGAGCAGAACAAAGAACACACTACCTAACATAACATATCCAAACCTAACATAGCACACAGTGATTGAACAGGGCATGCCAAAGCACAGTACCGTAGCATACAGTATGACCTAGCATGGCAACGCAAACATAGCATCAGAAAATGTTGCTGGACTGGGCATACCAAAGCAGAGTACACCACAGCCTCACATAACGTGGCATACCATATCATAGCACACCACAGCATAACAACACAAGATACGACATGTCGGAACATGCATAGCATGGCATAACAGAGACGCCTAACACAACATAGCATAGCATGACATGATAGATCAGTTGGTAACATTACATGGCATGGTGTAGCACACCACAGTATAACCCCGCATCGCAGTACAGATAGCATGACAGGTAGCATTGCAACGCAGATGACACATCATATCATGACAGAGCACGACATAAGATAACAAAACTTCGCAAACCATGGCATAGTGGATCAAATATTGCAGAACCTTAACCACGCATCATAACATCATAAAGCATAACATCGCATACTATACTATACCAGGACATAGTAGATCAAGTCATGGCATACCATGGCAGAACAGGTCACACCGTAGTATAGCATCAAAGCGCACAGCATAACATAGCATGACAATTCATACCATGAGAGAGTGCGGTAAGACACGCTATAGGATACCAGGGCATGTTATAGCATTACACTATAGCATAGCAAGGCGTAGCATGTCATAGCATGTATATGGACACATCATTACAGCGCATGCAATGACAGCATGGTGCATACAGAGTATAACAGAACGCCACACTCATAATAAGAGAGAACAGAGCACACCAGAACCTTGCGTAACAGGACAGCGCATAACAGTTCACTCAATGACATGACACCGCGCACATCGTTCCAGTAGGCGCGCGTACCGTTGGGAACAAACGCCGAAGATTTCGGTGGGGATCGCTCAAAACAAAATAATGTCTGTCCCCCTCTGGGTCCTCTGAGGCCCCCCTCAAGCGGCTCACAACAGTTCTGGAGACGCACGAAAGCGACCAGAGCAGCCCAACAGCTTGCTTCAAGAATGCCCAAGGGGCACCCAAGTCACTCCGAGCAACCTGCAGGATGCCCCCCGAGAGGGCCCCAGGAGTCCGAAATGGCCACATTCCATGTTTGGGAAAACGTGAATTTTCAGCATATTAACAACGTCCAAGACGGCCAAGAGGCCACCAAGATCACCCCAAGACGGCCCAAGTGGCCCCCAAGAAGGCCCCAGGACGGCCCAAGAGAGCGCCAAGACGGTCCAAATGCGCCCAAGACGGCCCAGGAAGGGTCCAAGAGGGGGAAGACCAACTGACATTTCAAACCCTCCGCTCCCAGCAGGCCCCGGGGCCGCCAACAGGCCCCCAAGAGGCCCCCAACGGCCCCGAAAGAGGCCCCGGGAGCTTGCCAAACGGCCCCAATACGGCCCCAATAAATTTCAAAGGTCGCTCCACGAGGCGCCCGAGAAGCATGCCAAGAGACCCTGAACTACAGGTATCCAAGAATTCTCTGGCCCAAAACTCAGGCACCATAGAGGTACGGGCCGAAGGCCATAGATAAGCAAGCAATTGGCTTAGTAATGGGACCCATCCCTATGCAGTCATATGTAGCGCAGGGTGCGGGTCTATCTTCGCATGCTGCGCGCCGCAGGGCAACGCGGACGAGGGCTGCTGCGGCGCACGCGCGCAACAGCGGTTGCATTCCAAAAAATACATGAGGTAAAGAGCCTCGAGGGCCATCAGGGAACAGAGGAGAGGAGTCCAGTTTGGGTCCGCGCTCGTTACTCCGCCGGACTCCCCAGGTGCCCGAGAGCGTAGGGACAGCGGCACGCTCGGCAGCGCCCATGGCGGCGAGATTGGGCACGCGTGGGCCACCACTCCGCCAGGCCCCCCAAGGGGCGCAGCGGAGAGGCGCTCCGCAGCGTCCGAGGAGGCGAGGTCGAGCTTGTTCGGCTTGCGTGGTTACAGATTCGGGATTCGGCTCGCCTGGAGGTCCGAGTGTCTGTTGACAGCTGCACCCTGGACTCCAGATTGACGGCTCCGGCTTGTCTGGAGGTCCGAGGTCCAGATGCAGAGCAGTGTCGGTCGTCAGTTGCATTCCATGATAGTGGATGTTGATTCGGACCTCTCCGGCCGCACCCTCCAGATCACCTGTCGTCAGCATCAGACCTGGCAGTTTTTCGGACAGTTGCGCTGGCTCGGAGGTGCGCCGATGAGTTCCTCCCGCCAGGGACCTCAAACCGGGAATTTACCCCCCCCTTCGCCCCGGGCGACCCCCGGCTGAACGCATCATGGGGGCACAAGGGCCCAAAAAAGGGCCCCGAAGACGGTCCAGAAAAGCCCCGGGTCGCCGAAATGTTATTCCCATACGCAAAATGTTGTTCCCGAACGGCCCAAGATGTGCCCCGAGGATGCTCCAAGAGGCCTCATCCCCCAGCTCATCTCCTGCGGTCGTCGAAAATGCCCGTTCAGGGGCTCCTGTGAGCGGGGTACACGGCTCGGTGGGCTGCGGGGAAGGGTGGAAGGCAAGCAGCACAGGCGTCAGCGGGAACGCGAGCGGCTGGAGTCGCAGCCATCTATTAAGCTGGCCGGAGCCCCAAACAAGCCACACCTAAGGTCGTCCTGGCTCAAGCTGGTCTGACTCGCTCGGACGGGGCCAGGACGCGAATAAATCAGTTCCGTTCTCAGAGCATTCCAGAACGCTCGGAGAAGGCCGCGGCGCCCGAGACATCCTCCAGAACCGCCGGGTCTCAGAGATTGCCGATCCTTGCCCCGAGTTTGTCCTCGTCCTGGCTTCGTCTGATGACTCGCAGAGCGCGCCCGGCGCGCGAGAGGCCCGCGGAGATGCCGCGGAGCGCCCAGCTGCAGGAACCGCCGAGCTCGGGCACGAGCAGCAGCGCCGAGCGCTCGGACCCGGAGACCCGCGACTTCTTCCGTGCGTGGCTGAACGGCACGCCGCCGCCCGCGGCCACGGTGGTCGAGGATCGTTTGCGCGCAAGTTCGGGAGAAGAGGACCGTGCACATGCACCGATCCTGGCCAGGCCCATCGTGGGCCCAGGATCGGCATGTGTGGCGCTCTGGCCAAGCCAGGAGAGCGCATGCACAGATCCTGGGCCCACGATGGGCCTGGCCAGGATCGGTGTATGTGCATAGTCCTCTTTCTTCTACAAGTGTGACCCGCCATGGGAAACTGCGAGAGATTCATTGCATACCAGTGGCGGGCTGCTTTTCAATCCAAGGACTTTTCGAGGGTCGGGGACGACGTTGGGGCGGTGTGGTGTATATCTGTTTCCAGTTTCGCAGAGGAAACAACGACAAATTATACCAGGGAAGATTTCATTGAGTGCGGACACGCATGGGTCTCCCAAGCATTAGCCTGCGCGCTCGGATTTGGCCTCCCCGTCAGCCCCCTCAGGCTGCGCATCAAAGGTCTGGACCTCCCAGATGGGGTCCCAGCAGATGGGGTCGGGAGATCGCGCCACATCGCCTGATGCAGCGGCGATGCGGTTCGATATGGAGCCCGATTTTCTCCACGCCGACGTCGCCGATACATCAGTGATGCACCGACGATGCGGCGCGATCCTCCGACCCCATCCTGCCCGACCCCATTTGGGAGGCCCCTCACCCTGGCCCAAGAAACTTCGGAGCCCTCAAGGGCTTGCCTCTTACGATGGGCCTCTTGTGGGCTGGTCTCCTCCTGTTCCTGCTCATCTTCCTCCTCCTGCTCCTCCTCCACCTCCTCCTTCCACAGCCATCTTGGCTCAAGCCATTTTGGCTCAAGGTTTTGTGCTCCCCTGCGGACAATGTGGATACCGCTAGTCCGCGGCTAGTTCAAGTGATTGTGCGAGCTTCTGTTGGAGCAATCCTGTTTGTTCCTCGGAACATTCTCTCCTGGGCCGCGGCAAGCATGCGTTCACCACGTGTACGGCGTGCGGCGGCTGGGCGTGGGACTGGCGCCTCAAGCGCCAGCGTGGTGTTTGTGGCGTTTGTGGCACGGTGCAAGCAGGCTGGCAGTCCTCTCAGAGTGGCACGTGGTATGCGCCGCGGGCTTCCTCGCAGGCTAGTGCGCCAGGCTGGAGTCGCTCTGCTTCCCCGCCGTCGACTTCGACGTCCCTCGAGGATGCCATGGCAAGGGTGCTGCAGGTCGCTGGCCTCGACTCGGACCATGAGGCCAAGAGGCTGGCGTCCCAGGTGCACTCCCTGGCGGTCGCGAAGAATGTCCCCGCCGTGGTCAGCAAGCCCACATACACCGTGCTCAAGGAGGCCTCGTTCGAGTGGCCCCGCAAGGGGGAGGCCTTCGACCGTGCTGTCAAGCAGGTGGAGACGGCCAAGTGGCACTTCGACGTGCCAAGGAGCGTTTGAGCTTGCGACGGACGACACGGTCGAGGCTGAGGTCAACCGTTTGCAGGCTGAGAAGGCGATGGGCACGGTGCCTGACACGAAGTCCATTGACGCCCTCAACGCCTTCGTCGTGGACCGCGAGTTGTTCGAGTCCTTTGACGGGCTGGGGGCCGATGACAAGAAGGCGCTGGAGACCTACCAGAAGCAGCTCGACAGCATCACGAAGCAGGCACGCGACAAGCAGGAGGAGGTCCAGGTGCTGGTGGGCAAGGCCAGGGCGGCGCACAAGCAGGCGGCGCCCAAGCGCAGGCGGCGCGATGAGGACGGCAACTCCGCCCCAGGTGCCCCGCCTTCCCCAGCACAGGCGGCTCCCAGCGGAGCTTCGGCGGCCTCCCCAGCAACTCCCAAGCCTTTCCCCGAGGAGAAGAAGAAGGAGTTGCGCTCCCGGTTTTTGGCTAAGGTGGGTCTGCAGGCCAAGCTGGCCAAGGGCGTTTGGCAAGGGGCCGTCTTCTGAGTGCCCTGCTGCTCCTGCTGCTCCGCCTTCTTCCTGATCCCCAGGCGCGCCCCTGTCGCTGGTGGGGCGAGGCAGCGGCGGGCCATGCACCGCATCAGTCCAAGGACGACACGCCCCTGGACTTCGGCGGCAACATCACGGAGTGGGGCCCGCAGGCCGCGCGCTTCCTCGCCCTGGAGCAGGAGGGCATCGTGCTGGCCCTTGCTGAGACGCACAAAGGGGTGGGTGCCATGCCCGACATCTGCACCTCCTTGGACAATGATGGCTGGAGGTTCGTTTCCTCGGCGGCTCGCCCCTTCGGGCATGTCGGAGCGCGGGCTCTCTGGAGGTGAGTGCATTCTCACTAAGAAGCATCTTGCGACGACGGGCTTTGAGAGCGCTCGCGCTGGCGCCCGCGCCGCCGGCGATCAAGACCCCCGCCGCGGGTTCGCCCCAACGGTCTTGCACACCAAGGGCGGCAACCTGGCGCCGATCGCGGCCTACCCCCGGCCGGGCCCGCGGGTCGAGAGGTGGAACAAAGACGCGTTGGTGGCGCTGGGGCCTGTTACCCGGGCTCCAGCTGACCCGTGGATCGCGCTTGCTGATTGGAATGTTGAGCCAGGCCCAGGCCCCATCCTTCGCACCAGGTGGCCAGACACGTTGGGCGCTCGCATTTGCGCGCCGCCCCGCGCTGCCACTTGGGACGCGGGGCGCGGGCGCATTTGCGATTATGGGTTGGTTGCCAAAGGATTCCCCGAGATCGCGGCGATTCTTGAGTTGGCTGTCCCTCGGGCGACGCACCGTGGAGTTCTGGTCGAGGTCAGTGCAGCGCGCGCGCACACGTGGAACAGGCACTTCGTTCTCCCCCGCGACTTGCCCGCGCGCGAACGACCCAAGACTCTCCCCGACAAGGTGCCCAGGAAGCGCGAGGAGAAGAGGCGGCGCCACATGCACGACCTGCCTGACAAGCACCTGGAAGCTTTTGACGAGTTCCCCCCTGAGTCTGTCGAGAAGGCCCCCGAGGCCCCCTTCGCCATTACTGCGGACACTCGGCCTGGGGCAGAGTCGCAGGCGCGCCGGGGCGGCGCACCCGATAGATTGGATCGCGCCACGCAGGGGGGCGGGTCCGCCGCCGCTGCACATGACAAGCCCTTCATCTTCAGCCGGCAATGCGATGCCCTACGTTGCATTGATCAGCCGCGCGGCAGATGGGTCTCTGTCATGGAGGGAGCGGCGTCGTTTCGCGAGTCGGTCCCCCCCGATCAGTGGCCGTCTGATTCCGGCAGGGGGCGTGGACCAGGCGCGCGCAGGAAGAGGTTACTCTGGGGTGGACAGACCTCATACCCTGACACGTCGATTAAGGAATTGGCCGTTTTCGGTTCGCGAAAGGGCGTCGCGGCCGTCGTTTTTGCGGGCCCAGGTCAGTCGGTTTCGGTCCCAGGCCGTTTCCACTAAGGGGAGGTCTACTAAAGGGAAGTTTGTCCACCGCCGAGACACGGTCCGCGCCTGGCAGAGCCCATCTCAAGACCAATCACAGCGACCCGGAGCAGAAGTGCTCGCGCGCCACCAGCCCCCCCGGCGCGACAGCGAAGCTCGAGTCGGCCTGCGAGGAGGAGTATTTCGGCAAGAAGGCCAGGGCCGCAGATACTGCCGAGTGGAAGCGCACGGTCTGTGATCTCACTGCCGCGCGGGTGGGCGCCCTTCCTGCTCCGTTGGATCGCACCCGCGCCTGCCTGGGCTGATTTCTCGCCTGGACGGGCACTGCTGTCTTCCAGGTCATCCTTCATGACGCGGGCCCAGGAGATGAGGGGCAAGAAGCCAGGCGCCACCCAAAGGCATGTCAAGCCCAGGCCCCCCCTTAGATTGGGAGGGCAAGGACCCCGCCGGAAAGCCGGCGTCTGACTCCCATGCTATGTTGGAGGGGTCGTCTCCTGAGTGGGCTCGCGAGCGGCGCGACCCCGTGGACAAGCCGCAACGCATTCTCGCCGGCACGCACCGCTGCTGGATTGCGGCTCAGGAGGACCCTCTCCCCCAGATCACGCCATTTGATTCGGGCGCCGTCTTGCCATCGACCCCTGCAAAGAAGGCGAATGGCGTCGACGCTTTGAGCCCGTCGGACATACAGCGGCAGCCACAGCGCCCGAAGGCCCAGCTGGCGGAGACCTTGATTCCATCTGTCCTCGGCGCTGCCACGCCCAAGGAAGCTGGAAACCATCGCGCGCTGGGGCTGGCTCCGATGGCTCAGAAAATATGGTCGAAAGCGCGCCCCAGATGGTCGGGTGAGTGGTATTATTCCACGCCTGCGTTCTGGGGCACGGCGACAGCGGCTCGTCGGCTTTGCGCGCGGCATTGATCCGCTCCGCCATGGAGGAAAATGCGAATTGTTTTTTTCGGGCACGCCACGCTGCATCTTGACTTGGCGAAGTCCGATGAGTCAGTGAGCTTTGTTTTGTTGCTTGAGTCTGGTTTGACCATTGGTTTCTCCTAGTATATGTTTGAGCGAGGTTGACCTGTACGCTTCGCGCCGCTTGCTCAACCAAGGCCAGATGATCGCGGGAGGCACTGCTGCGTCTCGGTCGGTCGCGGCGGGCTCGGGCGCGGCGTTCCCGCGGCCGTGCCGCGCCGCCTGCTGGACGCGGCCCACCGAGCACGGCCTGCCACTGGAGTCTGGAGCTACATCGACGACACTGTTCGCAGAGGCGAGGGATCCAAGCGGAAGGTGGTCGAGGACGCCCTTGCCGCCGCAGTGGTCTTGGCGCCTGGCTTTCGCGAGCTGCGATTGCAGGTAACGACCAAGACGAAGTTACCTGCGAGCTCGGATGACATCGGACGGAGTTGCAAGGCAAGCTGCGCGACCTTGGCACCCCCGCTGATTTCGCGCAGGCCCACGTGGATTCGGGCCCCGATGTCACGGCGTGTCGGGCGAGAGCCAGTCGCGGGATGACGAGGCGCAGGGCCCACGCTCGCGCGCGCCAACGGAAGGTGATGAAGGTCCGGCGGTCCTCTCGCACCAGGGTGGTTACTAAGAAGCTTTGGAGCACTGGCGCCTATCCCGCTGCGGTTTTCGGCCATCAGATCATGGGCACGCCCCTCTAGACGCTGTCAAGGGCGAGGCGCGACGCCGCGGCAGCGGCGGCTGGCGCTGGGAGAGGCAGGCGTCTGACGACGGCGCTGCAGGCCGCGCGCGGCATCGCGGAGTCAGGCGTTGACAAGAGACGGCAGTTGCTTGCGGAATTGATCCAGCTGCGACTACCGCAGCTTGCTTGCCATCTTCGCATCAAGAAGGCGCGGTCGCTGGTACTTCGCAAGGTCAAGAACGGCACTGCGGTGAAGTGGTGCGATGTTGGGGGGGGCCGATTGCAGCGTTGCAGGCCACCTTGATCCAGGCGGGGCGACCAAAGGAGAAACCTCCTCCTCCTACTCCCCCTTCTCCTCCTCCTCCTCCTCCTCCTCCTCCTCCTCCTCCTCCTCCTCCTCCTCCTCCTCCTCCTCCTCCTCCTCCTCCTCCTCCTCCTCCCCTTCCCCTCCTCCTCCTCCTCCCTCCTCCTCCTCCTCCTCCTCCTCCTCCTCCCGCCTCCTCCTCCTCCTCCTCCTCTTCCTCCTCCTCCTCATCCTCATCCTCCTCCTCCGCCGCCTCCTCCTCCTCCTCCCCCCCCTTCTCCTCATCCTCCCCCCCCCCATCATCCCGCTCCTCCTCCTCCGCCTCCTCCTCCTCATCATCATCATAATCACATCATCATCATCATCATCATCATCATCATCATCATCATCATCATCAGCATCAGCATCAGCATCAGCATCATCATCATCCCC